GCAGTGCCTTGAAATACAGCGTCCTTACAAATATTTACATTCTCGCAATTTATAGCCAAACTGAAACAGAGTTGTTAAATTTAAAAAGAATTAATGAATAAGTCTGGTTCGTATTTAGGAGTTTTGTGTTGGGCCCCACACCTGCTTCTTTCTTACGCGGCTAGGTATTTGTATCAGGCGTTGCTGTCCGATAGTTATCGCCCTTGCTTCGTGTTTGGAAGGTCGCTGTTTCGAATTTCGCCGGAAACTCGAGTGCAGGTGACTCTCGTCATACGCGGGGTTGCATTTATTTAAAACGCATACACCTTAAAACGGTTAACATTCCTTTGGATTTTCTAAGTGATACACCACAAGATGCCTTTGTTTGTAGTCTCAGAAGTCGAAATGGTGAGGTGAGTCATCAAAACTGCACCCGCGAGTCAGTGGGCCTTCGGAGCAGCTTCTACTGAAAACTGCGAGTAGCGTAAGCTCGTATAACGAGAGTCGTTTGCAGGCCGACTTTGGGGTTTCGGGTAGTTGTCCTCAGTTTTTTTTTTCCTCGTAAATGTTGAGGCGGTGTCTTAAAATGGGCCACAGTAATGAACTTCCACAACCTTTCCACTTCAGGCTAGCGTTCGACGCCATTTAACCAATGTAATTGAAGATGAAGGTAAAGCTATCCCCGGTGAATTAAGCAGCACGCCATGCATACGTAATCTCTGCAGAAGAGTGGGACTAAGATAGAATCAAGGTCATGCAGGCGAACCTGGGAACAGCATCTTAAGATATGCCGCAGGACGTTTCTCGACGGTTCGTCATAGATATTCTTCCCCCATTTCCATTTCGATACTTATGAGGCAGTTGTCATCTGCACTGTTTGAACCCCATGGATCCACGTATGTGGTCCTTTAACCATTCTGGTGTCTGGCGGCCTGGGAAGCCTGTATTTTATTTATATTAAATTATTTAACACGACACTCACTCAGCTTTTGAAGTTATATGGCATCGGATGGTGTAGGAAGATGATTGGGAAGGAGATAGCTTTAGCCGGTTCGAAGATACTGTAGCATGTTGTCCTGCTGAGACTGAGGAAAACCACGGAAACCATGACCCCAGTCTCTAACCCATGCAGATGTGAAGGTAACAGTCCGCATTGTAGATGAGCGGGGTTGCATTTTAACCCCCGATGACAGTAAAGGACGAAGGACACCTGTGGAATCTTCGTAATTTGTACTTTTCTGCTGATTTTTAAGGGTGGCTGAATAAATGATGAGCATGTAGCAGCATGAGTGGGGGAAATAAATGCGTACAAAATTATAATAGAAAGGGAAGGGACCAGTTCGAATACCTAGGAGGCATAATAAATTAATTGGTCCACTCTTGCGTTTTAACAACGCCTTTTCAAATGCATAGGTTGTGTGGCTTTTTACGTTAGGGTGGCTTTGAATAATGAGTGTAGACTCATCGGAGATATACTGCCTCCATCTTCAGGGCTGAAGTTGGAAACAGAATGTTTCTCCGGAACTTTGGCACATACCGACGAGTCTACACGGCGCCAAAACCCAGAAGAACTTCACCGTCCTTATCGCCGTAAAAATATCAACTCTCATATGAAGTTTCTTGGCCAGCTAAGTAACTAACAGCTTTTCATTGAGGATTTTGTACCTTAAAGGAATGCAGATGTGTGAGAAGTGGCATCCCGTTGTCTGGATTACGAGATAGTGGAGATTCAGTGGAAGGCTGGTGTGAATAAGGAGAGAACCCGTACTTTGTGATTGTGAACAGGAGATTCGGAAGGTGTGAACACGAGGTGTACGTATGAACGCGCTCAGACACTGACTGGTGGACGTTCCTAAGTGCTCTGTCCTGTCTTTGAAGCCTCGTGTAAACGTAGAAAGGCGTGTGACTACTGGCAATGTGTAATGTTCTGGTCACATCGTGTAATTATTGATCTCTGAGCAAGTTGTGCGGGGAGAGAATGAGATTGAAGCAGAAAGGAGAAGGATTTGAAGAACGTCGAGGGGTTGTCGGCATGCTATAGCGAACTCTGGGTGAAAGTTTGGGTGAACAAAAAGTACTGGGTTGTTGGGGGGGGGGGGGGGGGGGTAGAGAAGGGAAAATAAAAAGGAATAGAAGACGGGGATTTGTGAGGTGATGCTAGTCACAAGGGAGGGACAATGTTAAAAACAGGGCTTAAAGAAGACGAGAAAAGTTAGGGTGAATGAAGAAAGGAGGTGTGTGTTGAAAGAGAACAGGGTTATAGGTTTCCCTTACAACCAAATGGGGGATTTTTTTCCCACAATCAAATCACAAAATAATATAAAGTGTCTTGTAAATTAAAAAAGAAATGTGGTTGTTCAATATTTTACCTTTCTGAGTCACTTATTTAAATTTCATTTCCATGTTATTTTCCGGAAATAATAGAAGCATTTTAAAGAAGTCTCGGAAACGATGTAATCGCTTTTGGAGATTCTCAGCAAAAGTTTAACATTTGGAATGGAGTCTGTGGTGCTTCTTCCTTTAGTTTTCTGCTTCGCAGTGTCACGTATTTTGTTTTCTATATCCCTCTTGTTTTTTTTATTCTGTACGTTTGATGGTGTCCCAGTTTCGTTTTAATGAGCTGTTCAAATTCAGTCCAATAAAGTAGCCGTTTTTGTTAACTTTGTTATAATAGTGTATACCTCATACCTTGTCTTTTTTCTATGTTGAATAAATATAAAATTTCCCATGCAAGTTATTATTAACCTGAAATTGTAACTTGTTTGCCTGTCCCAGTAGCCAGGTGGTGTGAGGCGTGGGTTTTATATGCTGGAATTCTAAGCAGTTGTACCATATATGAAAACAAATAGATATTCGAAAAGGTGAGAGAAGAATTCTCCAAAACGGTCAAGGCTCATAGGGAGTTGTAGGGCCTAACCCAAAATTAAGGGATCGAAGTATATTGCCTGCAGTAAAGTTATACCAGAATACAGGTCGGTGTGGAATATGTAGCGCTTATTGGTGCGCGTATGTGGGTTAGGTGCTGGTAAATTAATAGTGGTTAATGTGTTAGAAATATTGAGTTTAAGAACAGAAAGGCAATGCATGTAGCCAATTTATATGGCAATATGACGACATTTTCCCTTATTAGATGAAGCATGCAAAACCCTCATTCAAGCCCGACAGCAGACATTCACGTCTAGTTGTTTCTTCAACAAAAGCAGATCATTAATAAGACTTATCTATAAAAACCTAGGAACGAACTCGTTTATCTTCCCAACATGATTTGTACGTTTCCAGGACAGCAAACGAATGTAAGAATTCATGCATCGTAAAACTTTCAAGTTTCTTTTCCATGCGATACTTTTGTGTTGTTCATATCAAATAATCCTAACCTCTACACATCGCTGTTTTGTGATCACATAGAGTGTTGCAATTTTAGTCGAGGGACAGGTTTCGGAAAGAAGAAAATCACTCATTTGTCTGTTCCTACGAAGACTTGTACGGATCACGCTTTGAGAGTCTGAGTAAATTACTAACATAATAATAAGATAAATAAAGTGGCCTCCTGTGTCGAAATGTCACGCCATTAACACGTGACATTGGAACCGAAGTATAGTTGGCGAAGTAGTTTTTGGCCGGTGGAATTTTCAAGGGGAAGGCTAGGAGCGAGTCTCTTTTGCGATAGTCTAATGCTGACTGCACCGAGGAGCTTGGGTGACTGAACGCCCAAACAAAAGAAATACACTGACCGTGCCACCTCAGGTACACAGACTAGGCCCGTCCGCCAGCTCCGCTATCTTCTCCACCGACTAAAAACTACTACGCCGACTATAAAGCTCCACACATTCCTTACCTTCACACTAGGTTGAAATGTTTCACGTTCCGGTTGGTTTAGCCCATCCATAGGCTAGGACATTCTGGACATGGAGCCAAAGAGAAAATTCCCTCATTTTGCCAGGAATCTAACCTTGGTTGTCTAGCATGTGGTCAGTTTCTTTACCGAGTATCCCGGCTTATGACATATTAATAATGCGAATCACTATAATTAAATTAATTTATCTATGTGTTTGACAACTGCCAGACATAACAACAATGGTCATGATGATAGAGATAGTAGCTAATTCTCATGGCAGAAGAGGGGGGGAGTCTTATTTCTATTTTTATTGTTGTTGAATATTCTTCCAGAATTGTTATAGAATGTGATTTTCTGGCAGTTGGCAATCTGTCTTTGCATGCGGAAGTGACTGGGTAGGAAGTCCTCGTCCATGGAATTCTCCTGCCATTTGTAAAAATCAGAAGTTAAATATTGATGAATTGATGCATTCTGCGTACATTTCGTACTTGTTTCATGTGACCATAAGTCGATCGAGCTGTAACATCAGGAAGATTCAATATCCAGATGCAGTGATATTTGTTATGATCTGATGAGGTTATAATGATGTTTTTCTAGATTGTGGCACCATGTAAACTTGCAGGTATTTGCTGGGGATAATATGTTCTTTGAGATGTTGGTCTCGGGGTCCGCAGTGGCCGCGCAGTCTGAGGCGTGGGCCTTTTGCCGCTTGGTCGCTGGGACCGTGGGTTCGAATCCTACTCAAGCCATGGATGTTTGTCCGCGTTTTTCTGTGTTGTGCTGTCCTGTGTACAGGCAGAGGCCTTGCGACTGGCCGATCCCTCGTCCAAGGAGCCCTACCGAATGTCTATAGATCAAGCCAACGAAAAAAAAAGTTTGGGACTCGTAAAAGGGTACCGGAAAATGTATGAACATTGTTAAACTGGAAAAAGAAGAAGAAATGTTGGTCTCTGCCTGTGAGTGTACATGGTTTCACAACCCAGATCATCATCATCACCACTACCACTATTACAACCTCAAATCTAATACGAGGTTAAATTTTCGTTACAGTTTGCAAAAGTTGATGTTTCTGTGTTATTTTATTCTTTGTGTGTTGTGGTTGGGAAAACTTTTTGTCAACCATAGATCTCGTGTTTATAAATGGTCAGTATTTATTAAATATGTTTGAATTGATATATGCTTATAGAATCCTGCTCACCTTATGTCTCACGGCGCTAAGTACTGTCCTCGATTCCGTCGTCCAGCAGAGGATATTCTATTGCCAAACAATGTGCCAAAAGAAATAGTTCTTGAAGTTGAAAACTTGCCTCATCCACAAGTCGGGCATACAGGCTTCCAGTGTATTGTTAACATTGAAGGCGCAAAAATGATGGTACCAGCACGAGTGGATAATCACTTCATTGTCTGCGATAAGACAACAGTAAGTATGTTTTGCTTCGTAATAACTATTAATTATTTTTACTTCGTGTAATTGTTCTTTATTTTTAAAACAGGGACAAAAATGGTGTTTCCTCCATTCAACCATCTGACACAGTGCATAGCCCGAGAAGAATTCATTGTACTTATTTTCTGTATATTTTGTATTTTGTTATTATTCCTGTTTTATTGTAGTATTGTTTAATATTTTATCTGCCAGTTCAAATCAACTCCTCCTGTAGCTTTTGGTTGCTTGGCTTTTATTGATATTACTTAAGATATTGTAGGTGCGTCATAATATATTTTAATACTATTTTGATATTACTTAATTGACGACAGAGGTAGTAAGACCTCTGAAACGTTGGTAAACATCGACCAGACTACACAGCGCAACAACCCAGAAGACAGAAATTTCCATTCTCACCGCTGTGAAAACCTCAAATCTTACATCTTAATTGTTATTGTTGTTAATATAATTGTTACTGATACAAGTAACTAACTGAGTCGTGTTTTTTCCACAGTACTCATATGAAGCCAATACAGGGGAATATCAAGCCAGTGTGACAATTGTTTGGAATCGAAATCACCACGTGGACACGATTAATGTCGTGCTGTACAAATGCGACATCCTAGGATCTCATCGGGAACATCCAGATTGCTCTCTGTGCGTGACCCGTAATGTGAAGTACCAATGTACGTGGTGCACCAACACATGCAGCTTTAGTGAAAGTTGTCTCCATACGCCAGTGAACGAATGTCCCAAACCTCGCATTGACATGGTAAGCTCCACACCACTGACTCGTCGTCTCGCTGATTATCAGCCAGATCAAGAACTAATTCGAAATTTATGAATTAATCGTTTAAGTGGGTAATCATTATTTTAATGTCATGTTTCCAGATCAAACCACTCAGTGGTCCCATCGAAGGTGGTACACTCGTCACTATTGAAGGAAGCAATCTGGGTTTGAAAGAAGATGACGTTAGAGGAAAAATCAGCATAGGAGAGACGCCATGTGAACTGATACAGTATGAAGTGTCTGTGAGGATTGTGTGTCGCACCGGAAGATCAGATGGAGAGATATTGGCCCCCGTCTTCGTTGGTAATGAAGCTGGGACGACCGAGTCTGCTGTTCACTTCAGTTACAAGGTTCGGTGGAAGAGGGTTTTTCGGCATTCTGGTCATGATTTGATCCTGAAACATGGCTGATGGAATGTGCTTATACCTTAACACATTGTGTACCACTTACAAGATTTCTCATCTTGTTCAGTTTAGTCAGAATGGATTAGTGATGATACATATTTTTATAGGTCATGTTTTTTTTTTAAATATCCTACTTTCAATGTTGAAAGTTGGTGACCCCCGTTACGGGGTTTTCTTGCGAAGGTGCCACAGTGGTTTCGCCTTGCCTTCCATGGCCAGTCTTTATCTGTCAGACTGGAAGAGAAAGGACGCGGACAAACGTCCATGCCCTGAGCGGGACTCAAACCCACGGTCTCATCAGCCAGGCACGCGAGGTCTGTGGCCACTGCGGCCGGCATAGGTCATGGTTATCTGGATATAAATGTTCTTGTTTACATTGTACTGTTCTTTTGGTCTCCTGATGCTGTGAATCTGCCTGTTACCTCGACATGGATTTGCTCATTGCAGGAGCTCGTATTTGTGCAAGGATGCAGACCGGACTACAAGCTTTGAGAATTTACTTATAATGTCTGGCACTATTCCAGATGCTTTAAGTTCCTTGAAATTACACTCACGTATAGTCAGCCAGCCATGACGTATGCGGGCAAGATGTTTGGCTGGGATGAAAGGGGGGGGGGGGGCACCCATTATAGTTGAGTTTTGTGACAATATGTACTTATTTTTATTCTGTTCTTCCTGAAATATGTGCACTTTGATGTGTATTTAATAATATATTTAGGATTTACTTTATTTTGCCTTCAAGTAATGTACAGAGCAGGTTGGTATTGTGATAATGTTATGAACTTTATTCAAGATTGTCCATAATTTTTCTGTCCAAATAAATGCCAGGGTAGCAACTTCCGATGGATCGTGACTGCATCCTTCCAAACTCTTACATGCTTATCATAAATGATCATCTATCTTCCTATGTCATTTGATGCTATATAACCTGTGAAGTTGAAACAGCATCTTGAAATAACCTAAGAATCAGTTATTAAAGGAAAGTGGCTGATGCAGGCCAAATTATTATCTTATGAATTAGATATATCATATAAAATTTTATTCGTAAGTAAGTTCAAGAGTTGAAATTTATGATTTTATTGTAGGTAATGATATGTTTTTCATGTATTACACATACATACAATATCTAATAATGTCAGCTTGTGAAAAGTCGTCGTCCTTCACACTTGAACTGAATAGCATTTCCGTTTCTCCAGGATGTCTTGCTGGAGGGTGTGTTCCCACCCATTGGGCCCCAAAGTGGAGGCACTCAGCTGGCAATTACAGGACAGTACCTGAACATCGGCAGCACAATTTCTGCATTCCTGGATGACTTACCATGCCAAGTGAACTCCACACAAGCTTCTAGCAGTCGCATCACTTGCATGACGTCACGCTGTAACGGTCCCCACCGAATCAACCGTCTCACTCTCATCATTGATGGTGCCAATAGGACGCTAGAAGGCAACCCTTTTAACTACACCATGGATCCTACAATCATGGAGATTAAGCCTTTAATAAGTTTTGCCTCAGGTGGCCGAATGATTACTGTCCATGGCACTAATTTGGACACCATACTAAAGCCAGAAATGGTGGTATACATTGATGAAGAGCCTAACCCCATAAACAAAACAGTAAGAAAGTCGTTTTATTTACAATTTTAAAATAGGGTACTTGAAAATATTTGGTTGAGAACATTTTTTTAGCTAAATAAGGACTATACTAACTTAATAATATTCTGTGAATGGGTTATTTTTTATGCCCTTATTTATTTTTATTTTTTTATTTCTTATTACACATTAATGAGATCTGTTAATCATAATTGTTTGTCTTTGATCATTGCTGTTTCGGTATAGCTTGCAGTTATTAATTTTCATTTCACGTGGTTCATATTTGTAATGTTATTTTTATTCGTATTATCATAATCAACATATTGACAGTTGTAGTACTAACAGTAATTATTATTAGTAATACTAGTGTTTATTATTGTTAAAAACAATACTTTCCAAACTACCAGGAATCTTTTGTTTGTCCTAGAAGTAATCCATTTTAAATTCCTGTACTAGGGGTTGCTGGCTGAACTTTAACTGTGGTATTAAGACTTACTGTGATGCATGGCCATTGCATGTAAGTAGTGTTGCAATCAGTAAAGGCTAACAATCAAAAAACTACGTTTTACAATAGTGCAACAGTCCAGCATGATAATCTCCAGAATTATGACTACAGGATGAAAGAAGTGAGACAGGTAATAGAATTTATGTTGTGGTATCTTTATGTTGCAGGTGTGCTCTGTCCTGAATAGTATTCAGATGGAATGCCCATCACCACCAGTTAATGGCAAGTTCAGGGCGATGCGCAGACGAAAACGGCACTCGACGCAGAAGTACACAGTTATGCAACTGCAGCTTCGCATTGGATTCATTATGGACAATGTGGAAGCTGTGAAAGATCTTGAGAAGCACTTCCATAATATGAGATCAGATCTGGTGTATGTGGATGATCCAAAGTTCTTTCAGTTCCCAAACCAGATCAAATTGTACAAGGGAGACACTTTGGTTATCGAGGTATGTACTCGATGTTTGGTATGCCGCTGTGAAATCTAAAATTGTAAATATCAGCATTCTACATAAATTTTTCTTCTATGAAGGTTATAAGGGACATCACTTGTGTACTGACATTCATTTAAAAGGCTTTAAAGACCAGGAGTTTGCATTGCATATGCATAAGGTAGTTGACATAGAAAGACATGAAGGTCTTTGTAGGATTAATGGTACACCACTTTCTAAATAAAAAAATAAAATTATCTGTGGCGTAACAGCTCCAGAGAGCCCAAGCCGACTAGCTTGACTGCTGGCCTCACGTTCACATGCCTAAGCAAAGGTGAACGATCATCCAACCAGATATAGGGTGACGTGTGGTCAGCACGACGAACCCCCAGCCATTGCTAGTTTTCATGACCGGATTACGCTACCCATTGTAGCTCCCCAATTTCCTCACGATGCTGGGTTGGCACCGGTCCCATACACTGGTCGAAAGCTCATGAGGAAATTTCTTCTCCCCCGAGACTCAAACCAGCACGCATTCCATATCGCCGGTCCAAAGCATGATGCCTCAGACCGCGCGGCTACAGCAAGGGGCACTTTTCAAATAAGTTACCAGTATATGATGGCAGAGGTTTGGGATGGTGACTGTGGAATCTTGTGTATGCCACCAGCTACATATTTTTAATAAATTTTTCAATAGTTTCCCCTTGCATTGTAATATTATGGGTTCATAGTTACGGCCCATTTTGAGTATTGTAGATAAACACAAATTCTGTCTCCCATATATTTGAGAAAGTGAAGTAAAAAGCTGTTTGTGTGTGTCCGTGAATTATGCTGCCACCTTGCTGGTGGGAGCGGGTGTATGAAGAGAAAAGGTGTGAAACCTCGTAAAACAGCCGATGGCTTGCTATGGTGTCTAGCAGCGACTTGAAAGAGAGATTCATTGAAACCATAAGACTAAAAAAATTTTATGGATTATTTATAATGTGCAGTTAGATCACATTATGCAGTCTTTCAGTAAATATTGCACATGTCCAGTCACAATGCACTACTTATCCAACCCTGCTGCATAAGATAGCCCAAATACAGAAAAACTATGGCCTATTTTTAATTAATTGTACAGTTTCTTAATGTTTATCATAGAGAAACAGGGAATTAGAGCATCTGTACTATGGTACTGCCTTCCAGAAGTAACTCCAGGGTTAATGGTTTAGCAGTATGCTGGAATAATGCACAGCAAATTGGACAACACATTATATATGATGTATAGACAGTAAAGATTAAAGACGTAATGTAAACAAATGTGTAATTTTTTTACATGCTGTATCGTAACTAGTGCACTTCTCTTGATGAAAAATTGTAAGTAATTTTAGTGTTATGTTTATGTGTACATTATAGCAATTGATATATACATAAAATTGACTTTTATTTTCTAGGGTGAAAACTTGAACCTTGCAAGTGATGAATCTGATGTAAATGTAACAATTGGAACACGTCCTTGTAATGTTACATCCCTGGCCATGACTCAGTTGGTTTGTACACCACCTGAAGTTCAGCCATCTGGTACAGATGAAATTGGAATAAAAACAGACACTAGTTTGCCCTTGGTGGTGGTCCGCGTCGGTCGAAGTCTACGCTTTCCAATTGGATACCTACGTTATGAAGTCATGAAACCTTATTCATTTCCTCCTGAAGCAATTGCTGGAATTGCTGCAGGGACTTTCTTCCTTGTGTTGCTGTTTGTCATCGTGCTGGTCGTGTACCGACGCAAGTCCACGCAAGCAGAGCGTGAATACAAACGTATCCAGATTCAGATGGACACCTTGGAAAGCAATGTTAGATCAGAATGCAAGCAAGGTAAGTCTGTGCATGCTTGCTTGTTTTCTTTAGCATAGTTCTGTACTTTGGTTGCAGTTCACTGTTTTTAACATGCACTTGTAGCTGGTTGTCTTAGACATGTGGTGGGACCTGAAAGCACGTATTGGATATGCAACATATATTCAGTTTGCTATTGTTCTATTATTTTGAGATCAAACTTTATTTACAAAATTATTTGTTCTTTTATTATGCTTTTATTTGGTTCTAAACAAAATTTTTATATCGGCATTAAATATTATCTTTTACAAATTCATTCACAATTCTCGATGTATTTAGTTATAATACAAGTAGTGGTAAAGGGGTCTTGTTTTCCATTTCTTTCAGCTTTCGCTCAGATGTGCACCTGGGACCCACGGCGCAATGGTGGTTCACGCCTCCTGCATGGTATTGCCACTGCGCTTAATATTGTAGTTTCTTCCGTCTGCACATTGCATTTGTTTCATCTTGGAAGCTTAACTTACTAACTGAGTGCCTCAGATTGTTTTGTTTACAGCCTGAACAGCATGAACTAATCCTGTGGACAGTGCTTTTCTTCTAGGAAGAATGCTAAATAATGATACTGTTGCATGACATGTAATAATTGGCTCCTGACAGCCAAGGGCGACTTGCACAACTTTGCACTGGTCACATAGAAGTGCCACCATGTTATCTGGCTTTGTTCTTATTACCTACATATCCAGGTAGCGTGTCAGAGAATTTAACTGGCAAGAGAAGCAACATGAATTTTTACTAATAAAACTTCTTTTTAGGCAAATAACATAACATGGAACACCCTTTTGGAAAAGCCATGAATGTTACAATTTATTTATGGTTTTTATTTCAATCAGTTTTTGCTGATTTTAGATCAGCTTCTGGTTGCTTAATGCATTCACAAGTCAGATAGCATCATGTAAATAATGCACATGTGCACGTACACCGCACTTACATTTATTGTATACCATAACCTACATTTTGGAGTAAGTGATGTTACAACTTAAGTTCTGACTCATTACTGTTAATCTTGCAGGAAATCAGATGTTAGAAACAGCATATTCAAGTTTCGTTTCAGAATTATTTATTCTTAAGTTTAACATTGGAGTAACTCAGGAGATACTCTGTTAAAATCTTGAACAGCATAGTACCTGCTTTCTCCTGTATTCTGTCCAATTCACAATGCATAATCATGTCTCATTCAGTGCTTTATAACATCAGCATTTGATATAGCACTTTATAATAATCATTTAGGAAACATATCTAATGTAAAATTACATTTATGACCTTTCTCGTAAACAGCTACTTGTACACCAAAATGTACGTATGTGCATCAAGTATATCAATATTTATCTTACTAATTTCCTAATAATTTGTTTATTTCAGGATTGTTAAGAGGAGACAACTGCATTTAATTCACATACACTTCATATAACATTTATTCTCTTACATATTTAATAGAATAAAAGAGTAAAGAGTCCATTCTCTTCTTTCTTGCAGTCAGCCATACATGTTACGTTAGGTAGTGCATTCAAAGGCATGTTGAATAAAATTCCGTACAGTTGGCTAATCAGAAAAATTATTTTTATTTTGAAATGTTTTTTTATCAAGTACTGTTTCTTTCACCAGAATATTGTTTTATTTGTTGACCATTTAACAAGTTAAATATATAGGATTTGAGGTTTTCACAGCGGTGAGTCTGAAGATTGCTGTCTTCTCGGTTATTGCGCCGTGTAGTCTAGTAGATTTCCACCAACATTTCAGAGGTCATACTGCCTCGGTCATCAGGGCGCAATAACCCAGAAGACAGCATTCTTCAAGTTAAATATGACCTTAATAAAATGACAGCCCAGATTTTGACCCAAAATACATTTCACTTTCATGTTTCAAGAATTTTCAGTATACTGATTTTTTTCTAAAATGATGTTTGATTGACTGAGTTTCAAATTCAGAAATATTTTATTGTCATAGTCCAGTGTTTAATAAGGTTTTAAGATTTTGTGGTGACAATACAGTTAAGTCTTCTTGGGCAATCAGCTACATATGGGATTAGTCCCAAAAACATAGGAAAATTAATTTTGCTGTCATCCAAGAAGACTTTATTCCATTGTATGACATCTGATCTATCTGCTTTAAAGCCAGCAGTAGGGAAATTTGAACACAAGTTCTGTTGGGTGAATTACTTTCCAGAATAGTTTGTTTATTAAAATCAAATTAATTTCTATGGACAGATTTATTATAAACAGTTGTTGCAATTCCTGAATTTAAATGCTTGTCTTGCCAGTTTCTGTTATATGGATATAGTTGATCCTATCCAAAAGCAATTCCCTATTTCATGTTGGATAAGCCCAGCCATCAGTACATGATGGAGGGAAATGTGCTCTACTGTGGCTATGGGGAGCTGTAATACAAATGCCGATGTGTTCCATCCTGCCTAATGTATCCTACACTGTGCATTGTAATTGTCCATCATTTCATCTAGATGAGTAAGGATTATTTCATTGCATTGAAAGAAAGAGAAAGGTGAATGATGAACAATTATTGACATTTTAATTATAAGAAAAGAAGTGAGAAACCTTTAACATCAGTAACATATTTTAAATCCTTGAGATGTTAGAAATAGTTATTAATATGTAGAGCATAACGAGTTAGAGGCTGAAGTGGCTACGTATATAACTTTCATTAGTGGTAGTGTAATTTTTTTTAAGAGTAGGGAAGGGTAGTTTTCTGTTACTACAATGAACCTCAATTAACCAGTGTGAAGGCAGAGAAGGGCAACAGATTCTTTTAATAATTCACGTGGTGTGCAATTGTAATGGTTTTGCATTGTTAGTCATAAATATGAATTACTAGGCTAAATTAGAAATAGCATTTAAAGGAATTGTCAGTCTTCCACTTTTGTTCTTATTGAATATTAAGATGGCACTGACAATTTTGTTCTTAACCTAATTTAACTGGCAAATAACCATTTGTATTATATTGAAGGTTGGAAGTCATAAACTTTTCAATCTTGCCGCAAAAATGTATAATGAATGGTTTTACATTTACATCTTATCTATAATCATTGGGGAGTATTACAAATGGTTTTCATCAACAATGGTCCACATCGCAAGAAAAACCAGGAGGCTGTCATTCACATATTTATTATCATAGGTATTGACATTTTGTTCAGTTGTGCAGTTTCAAAATTTCACAGTTTCTATCAACATGTTGTCCATTCTATACCGAAATATTAAAATACCAAACACAAGGGAAAGAAGCAGAGATGTAACAACTGAAATTTTTGGATAATTGAGGTTCCACTGTATTTAAATTAGTGACTCCTGCCTTCCACTTTTATATTTGTTTCTCTGTGTTCCTTCTGTGTCAAAAGCTGTAGCTCATAGGTGTGTTTATTTCTAAAAAAAAAAAAAACAAGTCTGTAACTACAAGTTCAAGTGATGTGATGCTTATTTTGAAATTGTAGTTTATGCAGAATGAAAATGTACAATAATTGTTCATTTTGATGCTTTTGATCTTGAGTTATGAGAGGAGTACTGAACTTAATGTGCAGAGTTTTGAATTTTTCTTCATTTGAGTGTTTGCTTAATTTCTGGGGACTTAATACAACATCCACTACAAGGAATATTATTTATTTGGGATAAAATTATAGATATATGTGCATGCTGCAGCAGTAGGGAGCGTTAAATAAAATAGAGCAAAGTATTGATAATTTTATTATTTTGTCTAGCATTTGCTGAACTACAGACTGACATGACAGATCTCACAGCTGACCTGGAATCTTCAGGAATTCCAACTCTAGATCACAAGAATTATATTATGAAGGTGTTTTTTCCTGGTGTAAGTGATCACCCCATTCTAAATGATCCAAAGGTAAGGAGGTATTTAGATAAAGGCATTGTAGCTTAAAATTATGTATTCCAAACTTCATTGCATCCTGCATGATGCGGTGTTATTTTTTTTATTTTTTTCATTGTTGGGTTTGAATTTTCTGTTACCTGGTGGTGTCTTCACTGCAAATAATATGTTTTCAGTATATGATATATTACGCTTTTTTAAAATTGGTTTCCTTACTATTTGTTTACAATTGAATCACACTTGTTTCTTAAGGCTTAAATACCTCCTTGGTTTGTTTTGTTGGCTATGGTTTGTATATTTTATAAGTGAGTGCTTCAATAATTCCCTGCAAATCCTTTTCAGCATTCTATTTATATATATGAGAGTTTAAACTTTTTGCAGTCAAAAAACAAGCATGTCACTTGGTTGTGCATTAACCAGTATTAAATGATTGTCAGTCTTTGAACATCCATGCAATATTTTATTTGAAACAAATCTCTCTGTATACAGAATACTCATTGCAGAACTGTTTTCTTTCCTTGTGATGAACAGTTTGCTTTCCCATATCGCTAGAACTATTCCGTACTACTGAAAGGGTTTAGCAGCTGTAGACATACAGAATAAATGCATCATTTGTATATATGTCACATAAGTATAAGATAATACTATAGTACAAAGTACAAATTTGAAATTTGTGTTGTAGCAGTTTTTTTTTCTCACATGTTAATTTTTGCATTGTTACAACTTAAAGAACATATTTATAAATTTTGTGAATTATGAAAAATTTTAGAAAGTGTATAAAGTATAATGTTTGAACTCATATAAGAATAATTTTATGAATACTCTACATTTAAGTACTGACAGAATGTGGAAGCTTGTGCTAAACTCAAAGAGCTGAAAATGGTTCATTTAAATTATTTTATTTGTTTCATGGAACTACGGTAATAATTCCCAGCAGTGAGACTTAATCTTTATCATCTTGTCACATCTTATGTGCTGTCCAGCTGATTATGCATCTCACTATCATATTGCAATAAAGGTTAATTTTATATAATGAATTGCAGACACTTGAGAAAGCAGGATATTGATGGCACTTACTAATTTTTAGTAAATGTTATTGTTTCACGTCATTGTTACTGAATGTTGCGTACTGGAAACTTCTTCAAAATTTAGTTCACATCGGAATGAACCATTTGTTCATAACATCACATAAGGACTCATAAAATATTTTAATGTATTATTTTCAGAAAATGCATCATAGAAAAAATAAGCAAAGTTTAATATCACATTGTTGTCATTAATATCTTTCTTGTTGCTAGCAAGTCGCTGAATCAAGATATACTGGTCATCTCGGAATAGCTGAATTATTCATTTTTATTATAAGGGAAATTGTATCTAGTTGACTGTATGTAAGATGCAACACAAGGATAAAAAATATTGTGTCAACATACTCAGCACATAATAATGCACTTTTCTTTTAAAATTTAATATAGGTGCGAATTAATGGACCAAGAACAAATTATGATGCAGCAATGCTTCAGTTTGAACAGCTTATCAACAATAAGTGTTTCATTCTAACCTTCATTGAGACACTGGAGGCACAGAAATCATTCAACATTAGAGACAAGTAAGTTGTAATTATTCAGGTCACTTCAGAATGTCATCAAATATTCATTAATGTCAAAGATCTGCATAAAAACACTTTCAGGTATTAAAGATAATTCAAACAAGAAGTTAACCATTCTTAACATATGGTAAATTATACTTCCACAGAGTTAATGTTGCGTCACTCTTGATGGTTGTGCTTATGGGTAAGATGGAGTATGCTACTGATGTCCTTAGAAGCCTCTTACTACGGCTCATTGACAAATCTGTGCTCACCAAACATCCGCAACTAATGCTCCGGAGAACAGAGTCAGTGGTGGAGAAAATGTTAACAAACTGGATGGCTCTTTGTATGTATAACTACTTGAAGGATTATGCTGGTTCTTCCTTATTCCTGCTCTTCAAAGCCATCAAGCACCAGATTGAGAAAGGCCCCGTTGATGCTATTACACATGATGCTCGTTACTCACTGTCTGAAGAACGCTTGCTACGAGAGCAGATAGAACATGGCATGGTTGTAAGTAATGTTCATGCCAAACATTTTTATCACAATACATTAACAGTTTACTGTACAGAATATGCATTCATTGTTTATTGTAGGTTTTTTGTAGCAATATTTTTTATTTTTGCATGTTATCTCAGAATTGCAAACGTTACAGTATTGTCTCATTGTTTATCAGGGCTAGACAGTGGCTGCTGCTTTATTTGCCTCGTCTGTGATATTTCTTCATATTATTAATAATACAATTTCTTCTAAGGCATATAAAAATAATTTCTCATTATTTAGATACATAATTTAGTGAATTAATGCAATTAATAGACTCTGATTTATACTACTATTTTTACATGTTATGTTAAGAAGTTTCTAAATTGGAAAAGTTGCATGCATTGTGGTGCGGTGTGCTGACTGGGGGAAACAACTGCATGTTTCAAATCCTTTTGTACTATTTTATGTGCAGACTTACTTTTAAAGTGATATCAGCACTTCATAGCTCAATAAAAATGTGCTTTAATGTGAGTTTTAATTACTTCACATTGTCATTATGCCACATTCTCTTCTGCAGAAAGTATTCTGTTTGTACATCCAGAAAATGCTACAGGTGGTTGGTCACCCCAGTGTAACATACTGCATCCTGGGTACCATTGCTCAGCAAAGCCAATGCTTACTGGTTATCATTTGTGGTATGGGAGTTTCTGTACTGCTTATGTTTTATGTTTGGTCATCAATATATTTTTCCTTTCTTTTTTTCCCTAGACAATCCATCTTGTGCAAGAGGATCCACATTATGAAAAAATCCCTTACCAAACATATCAAGTATGTGCAATGAGAATATCATTATATTTCTCCATTCCCAAAACTTTCTTGTTGCTTGTAATGGTGTTGGGATGTTGCCTGTTGCTTTGCTGTATTGTTTGGAATTCAGGTTATGGTAGCTGGAATTGCCATATAATTCTCTGTGATAGTGAGATCAGATATAGATGGGTGGGTAATGTTGTGAAATGTATATTAAGGTCTGTCAGTTCTTTAGGATGTCTTTATTATTCAGAGTTAAAGCAGTTGCATGTTCAGAAAAATTCTTGGGAATAATTAATTCTTGCGTAATTGTCTTTGTGTGATATTCTACTCAATAGCTGAAAATGATGATGATGATGTGTAAATGTAAGAAGCTGAATTTGTAACTTCAGTAGGGACTATATTATAATTTTTGTGTGTTATCTGATATTTTCTTTACAGTGTGGCAATTGTTTTCATGGGAAAACTCAAAAGATGTGGCTGTTATCTGGGATGTTCTACCATGTATTTTCATAGATACTGACCAGCGTTTAAGATATATTGGCCAGTATCTACCAAACTATACAATGCAATACCCCATAAAACAGTCATCTTCATATTCCTCATGATAATCAGAAATCTTGCCACATAACCAAAACTTTGCATAACAGAAGAATCATGATTTGTGTCTTCTAGCCCCCTTGATACTTACATACTCTTGCTTGTTCAGTAATCTATCTCTTTATGCATTAATGCATGCAATAACAGAAGTGTTTATAGATACACATTTTTAAATATTTTTGAACTCCAAATTTCAAACAGAACTGTTGCATTTTTACAGACCCTTCATGTGGTTCAGGATGATCTTGATGAGAAGATCCAGTGTAAAGTTCTGGATTGTGACACCATTAGTCAAGTTAAGTCCAAAATCTTGGATGCCCTGTATAAAAATACGCCTTTCTCAATGAGGCCATCTATCCATGAAGTAGATTTGGGTAGGTATCTTATACTGTCTGAGTAAGTTATTTTGTTGACATTTTTTGGGTGTGAGGGTGAAAGACAAGAGAGAATGTAACTCACAAAATTTTTGACCTAAGTGAATCCTGGCACACTGATATTCTTAACCAAAAATATTTTGTCTTGCACCATGTAAATAATCCATGTTAAGTGGGTCCTTTGTCCTAAGGTTGTGGGTCAAGGAGATCAGTAGATACAGAGCATAACTGTAAACGCAATGAATAAGTAGTCATGACAGGCAACAAATGGTGGTTAAGTTATATTGTAATACTGAACATGGGCTTCTATAACTTTTCACGTTCAGTATTTGCATTCAATATGTAGGAAAACAATGTGATACACAGTAGTTAATATGAGAAATATGAGAAAGTACTTACCATGTTTCTTTCATTATCCAATAAAGGATTACCAGATTGTTAGTATCTTTCCCATAAATGATATAAAGTGTTTTATTCATATTTATGCAGAACTAAGATGTATACTGTAACCTTGAACAGAATTTTTGATAGTTTCTTATTATTTACACGTTAGTTTAGTTGATGATATTGCTTTATATTGATTCAGAATGGAGGCATGGACGTGGAGGTCATTTGACCTTACAGGATGAGGATTTAACTACCAAAACCATATGTGGTTGGAAGAAGCTGAACACATTAGCTCATTATGGAGTAAAGGAGTCTGCAGTGATGTCTCTGATTCCTCGGCAGAATGACAGCTTCAATGCGAATTGCAAACAGCCTTGCCAAAATTGTGAGTTTCAGCAAGAGCAAAACACTTTTCTTTTCTGCTGTATGTTATTGAAGAAAGTGAGTAAAATTTAACCATGACTGTCATATTTAGACATTAGAAGCTACTCATTTGTGGACTTGCCATAATGGAAGCACATTAACCATGAGAAATGCAAACAAATTAATTATTTAGTTTTTTGCTTAAAAGCACTAAGCATGAAGAGGATTGATTGTAGTTGGTATGTAAATGTAGTTTATTTGGGATTGTAAACAAGTTTCAGACATGTATTAATTCAAATTCAAATTTGTACTATGTAACTGAATCTGAATTATCTGACTAAGTTTTGTGAAATTTACCTTTAATCCCTTCAGAAGGCTTTGTGGAATGTCTCAACAGTGACAAAATAAGTTGCGTGTTAACAATATGGAATATTTGTGTCTGGAGAAGAAGATATACATATATGTATGCCATGTGTCATTATTATTTGCGTGCACTCTCTCATAAAGTGGTTTCTATCCATGATTACAGGCACTGGTACATACTTCACGAACTCACTGTCCCCAATTATTACAGCCAATGGTGATGTGGAAGCAGGATCGAATCTCCGCATCTACCACTTGGTCCGACCGATTGATGAGCACCACTACCAAAACAATAAATCCTCAGAACGCACACACAAAGCCATCCCTGAAATCTTTCTCACACGGTTACTGTCCACAAAAGGCACAATTCAGAAATTTGTGGATGATTTCTTCAACACCATCTTAACAGCTAATGAAGCTCTCCCTCCAGCAGTAAAGTGGCTGTTCGACCTTCTGGATGATGCAGCCAAGAAGCACAATATCACTGAATCTGAGGTGGTTCATGCCTGGAAATCAAACAGGTGAGTCATCTACATATTAAAACAGTTCCCACTATTAAAATAAATTTAAATTTGACAGAAGTGCTGCAGACCCAGACACAAAGTTATAATGTGCTTACTGCTGGTAGCATTCCAATAGGTCAGTTACTCTTTTTTAATTATTGGCTGCAGTTACTTTATAAAATGGCATTTTGTCATACAGTGATAATCATTCATAGTAAAATGTGTACACCTACTCATTGTAAGAATTGTAAAACTGTCAGTGGAAATATTAATTATACTAATTTGTAATCACCTTCAATAGAACTTTCATAATTTATGTAAGGATCTGTAAAGGTGCATTCTCAGGGCTGTCACACTTTCTGCTGCAACATCTTAAAAATGAAGCATCTCCTTTCTTATGGTATAAATGTCTTCACAAATATAGTTAAATAAAATGTGATTTCTTTTACAGTCTTCCATTGAGGTTTTGGGTAAATTTTATCAAGAACCCTGACTTCATATTTGACATCAACAAAACAACAACAGTGGATTCTTGTCTGTCTGTCATTGCTCAGACATTCATGGATTCTTGTTCCACAACAGAGCATC